GGTCCCCTGACTTAGACACTTCAAAACATCAAAACCATGAGCCAAAAACACAAGATGGGCTCTGTCCTGTATTTGGGGAGAAATTTAAATATGGGCTATATCCTATATATTATTATTGGCTTGGTGTCAACAATGATATTCTAGTCACTTTGGAGAAGGTCTGTTTTTAGGAGATGTGCAGTGAGTTTAGGATGAAGGATGGTGAAGTCTACAGCTTTATTCAAATGGCCCCACAACTACCAGCCATATGTGTGCATGTCTGCGTGTCTGTGCGTGCACAGGTGATATGAATGTGTGTGCATCCGTGCCATGTGCATACACACGTGTGGGTGTGTGAATGCATGGATGTGCACACCTGTGTACAAAGAGAGAGTGTGACAGAGCCAAAGACCAGCGACTCCGGGCTCACAGGTGAAAGCTACACCATCTGTGCATTGTTTGGTGTAGTCAACACAAAGGTTTAAATTTTTTCCCCCCAAATTTAGAAACCTTAAGTTTTCCTTTTAGGGAAATGAAATACAAAATCTTTTCTCAAACAAGCAAATAAAAATACTAATTAGCGTATTTTGCTTCCATTGGACTAACGATGGAATGGGCAGCTCGAGAGCCCTTTTTCCCTTTTGGCCTCTAATCCCACCAAATAGAGCCCTGCTTTCAGAATGGGAGGTCAACAGCCTAGGCTGATTTCCTTAATATCTCTTGTCATTAGGGTTCAAAATTGCTAGTAGTTTTAAATAAAATTTGCATTTGATATCATAAGCATTGAATGATATGTTTTTGATTATAGGAGCTGCTATTTATATCTTCTCTCTTGAAAGGGACGCATTGGATATGAACCCCAAGTCTGGCTCAGTGGGTTCAGCGGCAGGAACGGTGACAGTAGCCACACAGCAGCCTTGGAGTGGCCGCTCACCTGAGGCCTCACAGTGGGCACCACCCTGGTGGCCGCGGGACGGAGGCATCTCCAGGCCTGTTTACAGACACAAAACCGAGGCTGGCAGTGAGGAATCTCGCAGGTGCTTGGGACCAAAAGGCTCATTAGCGAATCATCCTGCGAGATCAGTCTTAAGTCTCCGTTCACAGGTGTGGTCGGACAGTCCTCGCCTTGGGGGCTGCAGGGATAGTGGTGACACCTCCTGGGATGTACCGTGCTCCCACGGTAGCTCTCGCTCTCTGTCCATGGTCCTGTTTGATGAGGACTCCTGGGCTCAGACACCAGTCCCCAGGGTTACTCCGTTAGGCAGGGCAATGACCTGCCAACTCAGGGCTCACTGGAGTAGAAGACGATAGACAGGAAGCTCTGCTCGTCATGCTCATTGATCCAATTATTACAGAATAGAAGAGCCTCCTTCCTTGACCTCAGTGCGGTGAACTGTGATTATGTGATCAAAATGTACAGAATCAGAAGGTGGGGCACATCCAATAAAGGGCTCATTTCACTGCTGCCTTCCTGTTCTGCAGTGCGTGGAACTCGGGGTCTCTAATGTTGGAGGCTTAAGCAGGGCTGCTGTTGGGCTTAAGTTGTGACTTCCTTTGACACGTGATGGAGGCTTGGATGCGGAGTTTTTGCTCAGGCTCCAGGTAGAAGGAAGCTTAACTCAGGCTCTGGGGCCTCTCTCCACCCCTAGCATGGGAGAATGCATCAGGATCATGTAACCATGTGGTGCCGTTGATTGAATACCAAGAACAGAGCTTACAGGCCCAAAGTGAGGGCTTCCGGCTGGATTTAAGAGGTCCAGAGGGGCTGATGGAATCCTTCATCCAAGGCACTTAAACGTATTGTTTGCAGGGTAAGAACAATATCAGGACACTTGGAAAGTTTTGTCAGTTTTGATTCTCTTTCTAAAATGCAAATTTAAATTTCCACCTGGGAAAACTATTCAATACTCAATTGACTTTCGAAACAGGGATTAGAACACTCGAGGATGCTCTGTGCTCACAGAACTGGAGGCGCGGAGGCTCTCCCAGACCAGGCAGTGATCAGGTGTAAACCCGGGTCCCTCGTGCACCTCCGAGGCCAGACTCCAGCACTGACAGCTGTCAGGATGATTGGCATGGCGCTGAGAATGCCGCCGTTGCTTGGAATTTTAATGCTAAATCGATGCCTTGTTAATGGAGCTTTTTGCGTGGAAGTTACATGACTGTATTTTGCTTCGTGTTATTAAGTAACAATTAAACTAGGAGTCGAAAGGCGCCTGTCAGAGTGACCCTGGTGAAAGGCACCTCTGACCTTGGTGAAAGGCGCCTGTCAGAGTGACCTGGTGAAAGGCGCCTGTCAGAGTGACCTGGTGAAAGGCACCTCTGACCTTGGTGAAAGGCGCCTGTCAGAGTGACCTGGTGAAAGGCACCTCTGACCTTGGTGAAAGGCGCCTGTCAGAGTGACCTGGTGAAAGGCACCTCTGACCCCGGTGAAAGGCGCCTCTTTCATCAATGTGATCCTCATGGGAAAAAAAGACCCTCAAAACAGAAATCCCAGGGAGGCCGACGGAGAGTTCCCACAGAAGTGTTTTCCTGCTTTTGATGGACATGAGCAAAATTTAAATCTTTACTTTTTTCACTGAACTGTTTTTTTAAATTTAAGTGAATTATTTACACTGTAATGATATGGTTATTTTTAAAGCTGAAATTTGGTTGCAGCTTTACACCAACCCACCTCAGCCTGCAGGGGCCAGAGTGAGGGCTCTGGCCGGACGACCATCCCCAAGCTGGGCCTTCCCAGCCCGTGGCTGCCACCTCCACCGTCCTGCAGTGATGAGTCCAGAGTCTCCACGTAGAAATCCCCACAGAGCGATTCTGATCCACATTGGAGGTTAGAACAACTGTCCATGGAAGACAGAAACGCCTACATGATGGAGCGGTACCATGCACACACATACACACACACGCAAACACACACACAAACGCACACACGTACACACATGCACCCCCGACACCCATGCAGACACAAACATGCACACACACGCAAACACATGCACACACATGTACACACAGGCACACACTCATAGACACACACACATGCAAACACCCTTGCACATACATGCACACAGCCCTCAATTTACAAATATTTTAGAAAAAATTCCATTTCACATGTGATCCAAAGTATGCCATGAGGACTGGAGGCTGTGGCGGCTCATTCGGCTTCCTGAGCACCCCGGCCTCCCGGCTGCCGGGGCCAGTGGATTCCGCAGGGACAGCCCTCACCCCACTCCCAGGGTGTCCGCCCCACCCCTCACCCAGGCTTAGGAGCCTGTTGAGCCGTCTCAGATTGATCAGGAAACATGGGGTCTTCTTGCTCTTTACATTTGTTTTCTGTTGTTATTGTGAAGTTGGGAAGCTGAGCATTTTACCGTTTGTCAGACCCTTCTCACCGCTCGCCGACTCACAGGCTCAGAGAACTTTCAGCTGCGTCCACGCGTCCTCCTCACTCACAGGGCTGCCTCTGTGTTTTAATAGTAACCCGAATTTACACGCGTCCTCCTCACTCACGGCGCTGCCTCTGTGTTTTAATAGTAACCCGAATTTACACGCGTCCTCCTCACTCACGGCGCTGCCTCTGTGTTTTAATAGTAACCCGAATTTACACGCGTCCTCCTCACTCACGGCGCTGCCTCTGTGTTGTAATAGTAACCCGAATTTACACGCGTCCTCCTCACTCACGGCGCTGCAGATAACCCCTCCCAAGGTGCCCTTGACTCTGACTTCGTGAATGGCGTTTGATATTGGTGTCTGGGGATGTCCTCACATCCTGATATTATAACGCTTTGTGCTAAGTATTTTCAACGTTGATAGAGATTTTTAAAAGGGTATCCTTGAGGAGTCTGTCTTGTTCTGGGAAACCCGACGCCCAGACTGCCCCCGAGTCCGTGCGTGGCCTTCCCGCCTACCCCACCCTCTGTGCCCTAAGCCAAGGCTGCAGGAAGGGGAGGGAGAGGCTGGAACCGCTGTGGCCCCCACACCCCGCCCCGCCCTGCCCCAGCACACGCTCCTCTGACTGCGACTCCGGGGGTCTCACCCTTGCGGTTCTCGTCCTGTGCGTCCTCAGCGTGTGTTTTACGGTGAAACTCTGTGACCTGGAGATTAGGCATGAAGCTTACGCGTTGTTTTCCAAACACAAGCCTCACAGAAACGCCCTGGTCAGGGCGCTGGGATGGTGCTGAGAACATTTAGAGTGGCCTCGTACCAGGGAAGGCCTTGGGACGGGAGCCTCTGCGGGGAAGGCCTTGGGACCGGAGCCTCTGCGGGGAAGGCCTTGGGACCGGAGCTTCTCTGTGGGGAGTGGGGCAGCCAGACAGCATCTCCCGCTCAGAAAGTGAACCCGCCTGGCCGGCTCGCAGGCCTCAGAACAGCGTGACCAGGAGGGAAACGGGGGCGGAGGCAGAGGCTTTGCTGAGCTGAGGCCTAGCCTGGCTCCTGCCGGGGCCTAGACCTGTGAGACCCTGTGGGTCAGGGCTGGAGGCCGTCCCCGGTCACTGCCACAGCCCCAGGACAGCTGGAGGGAGTTCTCATCTCCTGCCTCCTGATGGGGTGTGCCCTGGTCCCTTGTTCAAGCCGCTGCAACGAAGCAGCACAGGTGCGGCAGCTCATCAAGGACTGAGACTCGCTTCTCAGTGCAGAGGCCGGCAGCCCGGAGTCAGGGCGTGGCAAACCTGGTGTCAGGGTGGACGTCCAGGCCCCTCTCTGGTGGTTGCCTCTCCCCGGCCTCTCCCACAAGGACACCCATCCCATCATGGGCTCCGCCCTGAGACCCCAACACCTCCGAAGGCTCCACCTCCAAAACCGTTGTCTGGGGGTTAAATTTCAATGCAGGAACCCGGGGGCCCGTGGCTGCGGCACCGTCTCAGTCCGAGTGATCCGCGAGCCGCTTTGCCTGGGGAGCGGGTGGGCTGGGGACGGGAGATTGAAAAGAGGAGAGGGGCAGAGACCCCGGGAGGGAGGGTCCTGCCTGCAGCCTGTTCTCCTTGGAGGGGCAGACCCCGGCCACTGAGCCCCCTCTCTTGCAGGGCTTTCTGGGAAATGCGAATGCGGACAGCGTGGTACAGCACAGGCTGCGGCCGCCCCTGGAGGCCCGGTACCTGCGCTTCCTGCCCGTGGCCTGGAACCCAGACAGCAGGATTGGGATGCGCGTGGAGGCCTACGGATGTGCCCACAGTGAGTGCTTGGCCCCGGGGCATGGGGCACAGGACCGGCCCCTGCGAGTCTGCTCACAGCCCACAGCCTGCTGCCTGCGGCTCTCTCCATCTCTCTGTTTCTCTCTCTCTGTCTCTGTCTTTCTCTTTCTCTGTCTCTCTTTCTCGCTCTCAGTTTCTTTGTCTCTCTGTCTCTCTCTCTCTGTCTCTCTCTGCATCCAGTTATGCCACAACCCCCTCATGGCCTGTCTGCCCGGGTGCTGAAGTCTAGGGGTGGCCTGACCGGGTGCTGAGGTCCGGGGGTGGCCTGGCCGGGTGCTGAGGTCCGGGGGTGGCCTCTCTGACCGGGTGCTGAGGTCTGGGGTTGGCCTGGCCGGGTGCTGAGGTCCGGGGGTGGCCTCTCTGACCGGGTGCTGAGGTCTGGGGTTGGCCTGGCCGGGTGCTGAGGTCCCAGGGGGTGGCCTGACCGGGTGCTGAGGTCCGGGGGTGGCGTGGCCGGGTGCTGAGGTCCCAGGGGTGGCCTCTCTGGTGGGGCGCTGAGGTCCGGGGGTGGCCTGCCTGCGACCGGTGGCGGCTGTGCTATCACTCACTCACCACATCCACGTCTGTCGGGAGCTGGTGATGGGAAGAGAATGTTCTGGGTTGATGTGGAAGATGAGTGCACAGTGTTTTCTTCACAAGGAAGGAGCGGAGCTGGGACTGTGCAAACCAGAGTGAGAAACGGCAGGGGGGAACCCAGTGGCTCAGTGGAGGGACGAGAAGCTGCTTCTCAGGGCCCAAGGGGTGCTTGCAGCTGTGAAAAGCAACAGAACAGACTGTCCTGTCCCAGGAGAATCTGACGTGGGGGTGCCCAGAGCTGAGCCTCACTGGGACTGTTGGGGCAGATGCCCCGAGAAGGGCCGGCAGTGCTGATGTTGCCCGGCCCCCCGCAGCGGGCTCAGACGTCCTTCCTGGCCTGGCCACCGGCTCAGGGACATTGAGCCATTTTTTCCTCCTCTGACTGCCTCCACACACCCCTGGACACCTCTGAGTCCACAAGGCGCTCCCTCCAGCTGAGACCCCCACATGCAGGGTCTCTTGGATCTGGGAACATGTGGCTGTGGCTTCCCCGCCCCAGTCAGCACCTTCATGCTCCTTGTTCCCGGGCAGAGTGCCCGTTGGGGAGGAGGGACCTCGGGCCGCTCGCTCTCAGCCCTAGACTCCCTGGCTGCATGAGCAGATGGCACCCTCAGGGCCCAGGATCAGAAAACCCCTAAATTCAGCAACTGCGCTGCCGGCAACATGGGAGTTGGCAAAAGGGAGTTCGGAAGACAGTGCACCAGCAGGACTCTGAAAGTGGCCCCGGGATGGCTCCGGGAGGTGGAAATGCCAGGTCTTGCCACAGCTGGAGAGGAGACCAGCTCTTCCCACTTCACCCTCCAACCCCACTCCAGGCCCCGTCCTCCGTATGCTGTCCTGAGCTGGGGAGAACGCCTCGTGCTGCTCCCCGCCCCCCAGGTTTCCATGCTCATCCTCGCCCCGGAAGATGTGGAGGAAACAGCTCCCCCAGCCTCGGTCCTGCGCACGCTGCTGTTTCCAGGCCCATCCTTAGCACTGGGATAAACCCAGCGGCATCTCGGGCCCTGGAGGCCCAGCGGGGAGGGGGACATCCCCTGGGTGTCACCTCTGTGGCTTCTCCTGAGGGCTCTGTGGGTCTCCCATGCCCCTTTGCATCACACCCCAGGCTTCCTCGTACACGCTTTGGATTCCTGGTGTTGAAGAAGAGTGTATCCTGCACCTTGCTGGGAAGGCAAAGAGACGTCCTGCAGGACAATTACAATGGGGAAGACCTTGCTGGGAAGGCGAGCAGACGTCCTGCAGGGCGATTACGACAGGGAAGACCTTGCTGGGAAGGCGAGCAGGTGTCCTGCAGGGCGATTACGATAGGGAAGACCTTGCTGGGAAGGCGAGCAGGTGTCCTGCAGGGCGATTACGACAGGGAAGACCTTGCTGGGAAGGCGAGCAGACGTCCTGCAGGGCGATTATGCCCGGGAAGACCTTGCTGGGAAGGTGAAGAGACGTCCTGCAGGGTGATTACAATGGAGAAGAGACGGGCTCCCACCAGGTGTAGCAGAGGAAGCAGCTGGGGGTGCAGCCCACACACGGGAAGGTCAAGGTCAGGAATCAAGGTTGGGACGGAAAACGACGAAGCCAAGACCTCAGAGTGGGGGATTCTGGCTAAGTCCACTCCACAGGAGCCCCACTGAGGCAGCCCAGTGGGGTCGGATCTCAGGGCCCAGGGTTCTCTGGACACTGACCCAGCAGAATTCTCCCTGAACTGGGTGTGCAGGCCGAGGACCCGGCTGCAGGTGGAGCCGCCCAGGAGGTCCGGGGACCCAGCAGGAGCTTGGGCCAGCAGGGAGGTGTGTTGTCCGCTGGGTGCAGATGGTTCTGCCAAGATAAGCTCCACTGGGGAAAGGAAGCCCCTTCAGGCCCGGGCTGCTCTGTGCAGTCATCTCCACACACATCCTTAACACAGGCCCCAAGACACACAGGCCCCGCCACACACAGGCTCCAACACACACAAGCTGCACACACACAAGCTGCACACACACAGGCCTAGACATACAGGCCCCAACACACACAGGCCCCGACACACACATGCCTTGACACACACATAGGCCTCCACACACACAGACCCCGACACACACAGGCCTCAATACACATAGGCTCCAACACACAGGCTTCGACACACACAGGACCCGACACACACAGGCCTTGACACATACAGGCCTCAATAAACACAGGCCCCAACACACACACAGGCCTCGACACACACAGGCCCTGACACACAGAAGCCGAACACACACACAGGCCCCGACACACACAGGCCCTGACACACACAGGCTCCCACACACGTGGCTTCCAGGCAGCATTTTCACTAGAGGAACCTCAGGGGGTGGACTCTGGGGTGGGCGGGTGATGGGTGGAAGGAAGCGGAGTCTGGACTGTCCCGGGGCAGGCGCCGTGATCTCTTCACGCTACCTGGTTCTCTCCGTGTGGACTCAGCTGACCACTGGGTTCCAACCCATTTCAGCCAGTTTTGTTTTCTTACGAGAGAAGGACGCTTCCGCCTTTCAGCTGTTTCTTCTCTTATCTGACATCCTGAAAACTCCGGGATTTCTGTTCCTCATCGGTCTCTTTAGCTCCTTGGGGCCCAGGTTCCCTGAGTCGTCTGCAGTAGCGTCAGGCCCCCGCCCAACCCGCCCACCGATGCCTGCACAGTCCCCAACCCAACCTTCAGTCATTACTTTTTGGGAATGAGTTTTCTGAGGTACATACAGAAATGTGCACACAGCGTAAATATGTGCAGCTGCGTAAGTTTTCACAACATCACAAGCATCCCCAGACCACAGAACGGAGCGTCACCCGTCCTGAGGCTCCCTGTGCCCAGCGCTGACCCTTCGCCCACCAGTCACCAGTTTAGCAGGGACACGTCCCACCTTCGAACTCCTTACACAGGGGTGCTTCGGCAGGTGCCTCTCAGCTGTCTTCCCTCACCCCACCCTCCGTTACCCACCGACTCCTCCATCAGCACACGGGTCCCCCGCAAGCCCCTCCGGGCCAGGTGTCATTCTACATGCTCCCCTGGCAACTGGCTGTGTCCCCGTGGCAACCTGATCAATCCCCATGGCAACTGAAACCACCCAAGGCCATGTGGCAGGTGCTTGTGAATCTCCTGATGGACGAGTGGATGTGCAGGCGAGTGCCTCCTCGGCGAGGTGGAGAGAGCAGAGGTGTGGCCCAGGAGAGGGCTTGCCCGGCCCGAGGCAGCCCCCGAGACCTGCTCCAGGTCGGACGCCAAACCGGGAAGGGTGGGCAGGCTCGGGTGGACCCAGCAACAGCAGCTTTCAGGCGTGAGGCTCATCTGGTGAAACGCCGCCTGCCGGGGAGGGAGCACGGGTTCTCCAGCTCTGATCATGAGTCTACAATCAACACTGCGGCAAAGCTGTTTAAAATGAGAAGGTGCGCTTCGTAAGGACGAGAAAAACAGACCCGGAGCCGTGGTGGACCTGCCTGCTGCCTGCTGTGGGCCCGGGGTCCGCTGCTGTTGGTTTCCATTAGGGAAACCTCGAGAGGACATAAAACAGCGTGGGAGGGAGAGGAACCCACACTGAAAAGGAAAATGCTGGCAGTTAACAGGGTCCTCCGTGGTGTGAACCGTGTAGATCTGTGCACCCACCCATGGAAGGCCTTCCACATCCAGGGCACACAGGAGCTGGGAGACACAGCCGCAGCCGCCTTCCCTGGAGCCTGGGAAAGGTGCGTTTCTGTAGCAGCCACAGGTGGGGGCCAGGCTGCTGCTGGTGTTACCGCAGCCACTCACCAGTGGGGAGCACCAGCTTTACAAGGAGGAAGCCGGTGACTGAGGAGTGGGCACGGCTCTAGGTACAGCTGGTGACAGGCGTGGGCTTCACACAGGAGGGAGGCGGGCGATTCGCTGTCACCCCACCGTGGGCAGTGGGGACCCTCAATCAGAGGCCTGAGATGAGTTCCCAAACACTGTACCCTGAGGACCCCCGAGAGGCTTTCAGGTTTTAGAAAACCCCTTCCTGAAAAGTCCACATGTAACATATGAGCTCTCCCGTGCGCGCATGTGTGTTTGTGCTTCGCGGTGATCAGACCCAACGCCAGGTCCTGGGGGCGATGAAGTCCGGTGGAGTCAAAGGAGTAAGAAAAAGACAGTTGGAGAAAGTGGGACTGGGGGCCATGGCCAGTGTGGAGGCTGCACCCGAGCTCTGGGAGCCCACACTGTTTATTGGTGCTCAAAGAAACAGCTAGTGAGGATGTGAGGGTTGAAAGGAAACAGTGTTATCAAGTGAAGGAGAGATAATGGGAGTGCTGGAAGCAAGGAGCCAGCATGTCTAGCAGACATGGAAGCCCTGCCTCAGCTTCTCTCCCAACATTTCTGTGTGTATGTGTGTGCATCCCTGTGCGTGTGTGCTTGTGTGTGTGCATGTGTGTGTGTTTGTGATGTGTCTGTGCATTTGTGTGTGTGCCTGTGTGTCTCTGTGTGTGCCTGTGCATGCATGCTTGTTTCTGTGTCTGTGCGCTTGTGCATGGGTGTGTGTGTGTGTCTCTGGCTGTAGCAGGCTCTGCGGGTCCCTGTGTGCATCAGAGACCCTCCTACAGGTTGGGTTTGGAGTGTGGGGAGCCCTCGGAGGGAGTGAGGTCATGGAGAGGGCGGCTGAGCCCTTTGTGCTCTGGGCTCCCTGCCTAAGAGGTCACCTTGTGACTGCAGCCGGGCCACTCGGGATGGCTCCGCGGGGTCCCCTGGTGGCCACTCTCCCTCCCGGTCCTGCCCACTGCCCCATTGCTTGGGGATCTGTGTTAGTCTGTTCTTGCATTGCTGTAAAGAACGATCCAAGTCTGGGTAATTTATAAGGAAAAGAGGTTTAATGGGCTCACGTTCCGCAGGCTGTACAGGAAGCATGGCGGCATCTGCTTCTGGGGAGGCCTTGGGGGGCTTTTACTCATGGTGGAGGGTGAATGGTAAACAGTCGTCTCACATGGCAAAAGCAGGAGCAAGGGGCGGGGGAGGCGCTGCGCACTTTTAAACAACAGGATCTCGGGAGAGCTCACTCACTATCCCGAGGACCCCACGGAGGGGATGGTGTTAAATCATCATGAGGGACCCGCCCCAGGATCCAGTCACCTCCCACCGGGCCCCACCTCCAACAGGGGATATCATTTCAATAACACTCAATAACAGTTCAATAACAATCTGAGGTTTGGGTGGAGACAGAGCCAAACCCTGCCAGGCTCCCAACCACAGGACTTCACAAATGGTCCCTTTGCAAACACCACCCTGTTCTGAGAATTCCAAGGCTTCCCTGTGACCCCACAGGACGCACGGCCACTTCCCAAGGAGGCGTTTCTTCCTTCCCCTTCCCCACCTGTGCACCACGGAAGACACCGCAGCTCCTTCCGGCGACACAGCAGCTGCTCCCTTGGCGTCAGCGATGCCCTGATGTTTTCTGCAGAGGAATGAGTGATGCGGCCTGGGGCGAGAGCACGTGAGATGCTGTCCGGGTGGAGAACCGTGGCAGCGCCTGGGCCAGGAAACCGCAGGACGCCCAGCAGCCCTTGCCCATAAGGACAGGGCCCTTTACAGAGCTTGTGTGGTCACCCCCAGCCTCGGTGGGAGGAGGACGCGCCCTTCTGTGGAGGGCCCCTAACGTGTGCCTGGGTCTCCTGCGATGAGTCCGGGGTGAGGGGGTGTCACCAGGTGAGGATCTATCACGGAGGGAAAACACAGCCCTTCCAGGGAGGATGGACCAGAGAATTAGGAGAAGTCAGATCTGCCAGGAGCAGCACCCTCGTTACCCTGAGACGTTTGAATGTTCACCAGTCGCCAGAAAATGAAAACTTTTCAAGGCTGCTGCACCGAGAGTTTCCGTGTGGTTGACACTGGCCAGTGTGAGGGGCATCCACGATTGAGGCCGTAGACGTTCACGCAGCGGCGCAGAGATTCCCAAGGGCAGACTTTGAAAAAAATGTATCTTTAGGTGCAGCAACACCTGCTGGAAGGAAAGACGCCTCGTCTGATGGCTGGACTGGAAATGCGTTCTTTGTGGGCACGTGTATTTCGTGTGGACATGCAGGCTCTGCCTGTATGTGTGCCTGTGTGCTCATGTGCCTGTGTGTGTGTGCTTGTGAGTGCATTTGTGTATGTGTGCTGCACATTTTGTGTGTTTGTGTGTGCCTGTGTGTACATGGTTTTGTGTGTATGTGTCTGTGTGCCTGTGTGTGATTTTGTATATACATGTGCATGTGTGTGCCTGCGTGTGCATGGTTTTGTGTATATCTGTGCATGTCTGTGTGTCTATGTGTGTGGTTTTGTGTATACATGTGTGTGTCTGTGTGCCTGTGCGTATGAGTGGTTTTCTGTGCACATGTCTACGTGTCTGTGTGTGTGCATAGTTTTGTTACGTTTAATTTTAGTTTGTACATGTGCCTGTGTGTGTGTGTGCCTGTGTGTGTGCCTGCGTGTGCCTACAACACTCTGTGTGTTTAAGAATGTTAATGGCAGCATGCTAACACTTAGCACAACTTTTATCTCTTCTGCAGGATCAGAAGTGATTGATTTTGATGGAGAAAGTTCCCTGCTTTACCGATTTATTCAAAATACCAGGAGTCCAGGAACAGACATCATTTCTTTGAAATTTAAAACTCTGCAGAGTGATGGGATTCTATTCCACAGGGACGGACGGAATGGGAATTGCATCACCCTGGAATTAGTGAAAGGAAAACTCATTTTATTCATAAATTCAGGTAAAATTATCAGTCGAGGACTTCAATAATCTGATTACTTAGACATAATTTATGTCGAAATATTTTTGCATGTAATCTTTAAGCAGTCATTACGGATGCAAGGGCCTGTGTCGGCTCATGGAAATGGTGCAGGTGGGACCGCTGTATGGGAGGGGATCACTGGGCTCTCACGTCCTTCAGTGCCACTCCGTAGCTCCATCCCACAGTTTCCCAGCCCCAGCACAGCAGACGTTTCGGGCCAGATGATTCTCTGGGCAGGGCCCTCCTGTGCACTGGCGGGGGGTGGACAATGTCCTGCTCTCTGCCCCCTCTGCTCCCAATGCCAGGAGCACCCCAAAGCCATGACCATCAGAAATGTCTCCAGAATGGCCCGATGTGCCCTGGGGACAGTGATCCCTGACTGACCATCACTGTCCCATGCTACGGACGACAAGGCTGCCACAGCAGTAAGGAAAGTTCACAACACAGACAAGGGTTTTCCAGGAAAACAAGTCTGTGACAGACTCGTAAAAGGTGGTGAAAAGAGAGGGTCAAGAATGGGGTTGCCGGGGTGGGAGGGCCTCATGCCCAGGTCAGATGCAGCCACTCCCAGGACCAGGGTGCTGACCTCCCCTTCTGGATGGGACCTGACAGCATCTCCTTCCTTCTGCCCAGGCAACGCCACGCAACCCTCACCACCTGGCCAGGGTGGCCTGGCGCTGGGCAGCCTGCTGGACGATGGGCACTGGCACACAGTGCGGCTGGAGTGCTCTGGCCGGGGCCTGAACCTCACGGTGGACAGGCACTCGAGACCCATCTGGGCACCGGCGGAGCTGTGCCATGCGGACCTGGACCCTGAGGTGCGGCTTCCTCATCCTTTGCACAGACCTGGCAGCTCAAACTCCATCTAGGCCCAGGAGGAGCAGCACAGTGGATGGGCCCTTCCTGATGTTCAGGGCTGCAGATGCCGTCCCTATCCCCTCGCAGGAGCATTTGCAACATGGGCGTGAGCCTCACCACCATCACGACCTCTGTAACCGGGAAATCACTTTCTAAGAGAACCGGAAGAGTTTGGCAATGTTTCCCTTTGCCAGGGTGGCCCGGTGTCCTCAGGGCCCTGAGTCCCGGCCACCCTCCACCTGCCGTCCAGCTCCAGTAGAAACAGCCCCATCCCCTCCCAAGGGCTCCATTTGATGCTAAATTACCTTTTCCCCAAATGACAGCCGCAGAGGCTCTGGCGCCAGTTGACATCAGCTCATGTAAGATGTTTTAGAATCTATGTCTTAGATTCATTCAAAATTAACAGAATAATTTTATAGAAGTACACAAAATTAACCCATCTAGACCGAGCCTGCCCCATTTATGAATCATCAATGTTTTAAGCAAATTGTCAGAAATTGTCAGTAATAAAGAATATTACTGATGTTATGTTTTTTTCTAAGATCAGCTTTGGAGGGATTTTAGCACCAGGAAAGCCAATGGTGTTTCCAAGGAAAAACTTTCGTGGATGCCTAGAAAACATTAATTTTAATGGAGAGGATGTCATTGGTTTGGCCAAGCAGCAGGGACCACAGATCCTCGTCACGGTAAGAGTCCCCCAAGGAAGTCGGTGCCTCCAACTCCCAACCGTGTCCTTGTCTAAGGTGAGGCTCGTGACTTTAACAGCCTCCTCCGAGCAGCTGCGAGCACAAGCAGACCGGCGTGAGCACAACTCATGCTGTTTCTGGCATGAGACGAAGAGACCTGTATTTGATTAAAATAAAATTAAGCCTCAGTGCATGATTTCCTTCTGTGGAGGCATCATCCCTCCCCAGAGGCCAGTCTTTTGGCGCATAATTCCCTGCAAGCAGCTTTGCTTCAGGACCATGGCACATACCGGAGCCCCTGGTTCCCTGGGGTTAAATATCTTGGTGTTTTCGAGACATTTGGAATAACGCTTCTGCCATGGAAGTTTGAACATGAGCATGAAACTAACATGCTGTGCTTTCATGTCGCTAACACGCCAGTGCAACGGTTTCGTTGACTGACAGGGGACGGGCGGGTGCATTTACACCCAGGGAGGCCGGCTGGACCCAGGACCAGCCTCAGGGCACATCTGCAGCCTCAGTGCTGCCCTTACCCGGATCCCTTTACCTGGTATCCTGGTTAGAACCCCAGTCTTCCGGGCTCTGTTAATGGGGTCCACTCCTGAAATTTATCTTTTTTTCACCGTGGGCTGAGCCCCGGGGCAGGAGTCGGCCGCTGAGGCCTGCCCCGAAATCCGGGTCGGTCTGTGGCTCCGCGCTGGGACCCTGGGCCGCTCACCCCGGCACGCAGGAAGCGAGCTCCCCACGCCCAGTGGAAAACACGTTTTTACCACGTCTGCGTCTCCGGGAAGAGGGTGGGCCGGACCCAGGGCAGCAGAGGCTGGGAGCGGGGCTGTGGGCTCGGCTGGGTCGTCCTGGGGTCTGCCGGGTGCAAGTGTGGGGCCCGTGGGCACCGTGGAGTAGGGGACGCGGGGCATCCAGATGGGAACAGGCCAAGCCTGGTGGGGCCGGGAGGGATCCCCTGACCGGGAGGACCCTCAGCGCCGCCCTCCATCTCCCCCTCCCAGGGAACCGTCGCCTTTGCCTGTGCGCACCCCCAGACCGTGCCCGCCACGTTTCTGAGCGCGCAGAGCCACTTGGCGCTGCCCGGCTCCCCCGGGGCGGACGCGGCCTCCGTCAGCTTCCAGTTTCGCACGTGGAACCGCGCGGGGCTGCTGCTGTCCTGGGGGACCCGCCCGGGCTCCGGGGGCTTCTTCCTCGCGCTCCAGGACGGGAGGCTCCACGTGGGTCCGCGCGCATCCCCGGGACAGGCGCAGAGCGGCGCCCGCACAGGTAACTCGGGGTCCCGGCCCCAGCTCTGCAGGGAGCGCGGATTTTAGGGACCCCCGGGAGCCCCGCTTCCCCGGAACACAGGCGCCCGCTGTCTACACCACGGGAAGCACCAGGGTTCCGGAGAAAGGGTGCCCGCCCCCGGGAAGCGGGATCCTGGAGCCCAGCCCGTTTGGGTTTGCAAGCGGCGTCGCATCTGAGAGCTGCGCCCAGGGCTGCGGTCTCCCTGGTGTCTGCACATTTGCGGGAAGAGATGCCTCCATTACGCAGAGAGCTGCCATGACGGAGATGAAGGAGGGGGATGTGTGAAGGCCGGGGCCAAGAGAGGGACCTTTCCCCATGCCCTTCCCGGAGGGAGTGCCCAGGCCAGCTCTGCCTCCTCCCGCAGGTGCTGGGGCCTGGAGGGTCTACACTTGGGATGGAGTGTCTACACTCGGGAGGTGAGGCAGGTGTCAGGGAGGTGAGCTGTACACAGTAACACGTTTTCCTTCACGTACATCCTCTCGATAAACACCTTTCCACAGGATGGAGGGAGCACTGGCTGCTGGGTGCTGCCCCTGAGGTTGAGTTCCACGGTATCGTTGGCACGGTCAGGTGTGCCATCTCTGACACGCTGTGGCCCACGTAGTCCACGCTGGAGCACAGCTTTTAGCAGGGCTGCACTGCTTCTGCGTGTTGCCGCTGGAATCTTTGTTTTTTGTTTTTTTTTTTTTGAGATGGAGTCTCACTCTGTCGCCCGGGCTGGAGTGCAGTGGCCGGATCTCAGCTCACTGCAAGCTCCACCTCCCGGGTTTACGCCATTCTCCTGCCTCAGCCTCCCGAGTAGCTGGGACCACAGGCGCTCGCCACCTCGCCCGGCTAGTTTTTTTTTGTATTTTTAGTAGAGACGGGGTTTCACCATGTTAGCCAGGATGGTCTCGATCTCCTGACCTTGTGATCCGCCCGTCTCGGCCTCCCAAAGTGCTGGGATTACAGGCTTGAGCCACCGCGCCCGGCCGCCGCTGGAATCTTTGATGAGGGATCAGGGTCACACATATGCTGGTTTAGAATAACGCCCAGGCCCTCCATGGAATCATCAGACATGAATGTTTAAGGAACGCTGGGTCCACTCTCTCTTGTCTCATCATCTGTGCCCAAGGCAACAAAATAGGACATCGCCAGAAACTCAGCAAGAAAGAGATTTGGAAGCGAAATGGGGAGAAAAGCAGGCATGCACACTTCTATAGATAGCTCTAAAATTTACTTCTGTTTGTACTCCCTGCATCACTGAAAAATAAGTGGAGGCTCCAAAATTACTAGTCCCTTTGATATATATATATATATATATATATTTTTTTTTTTTTTTTTTTTTTTTGAGGCGGAGTCTCGCTCTGTCGCCCAGGCTGGAGTGCAGTGGCCGGATCACAGCTCACTGCAAGCTCCGCCTCCCGGGTTCACGCCATTTTCCTGCCTCAGCCTCCCGAGTAGCTGGGACTACAGGCGCCCGCCACTTCGCCCGGCTAGTTTTTTGTATTTTTTAGTAGAGACGGGGTTTCATTGTGTTAGCCAGGATGGTCTCGATCTCCTGACCTCGTGATCCGCCCGTCTCGGCCTCCCAAAGTGCTGGGATTACAGGCTTGAGCCACCGCGCCCGGCCCCCTTTGATATTTTTAAGCACCGTCCTTTGATCGCCTGCTTAATGTTAATAATGAGATAAATTGACATGAGTTAGGTTTGTGAGAAAGAAAGAAATCAGATTCACTATCTTAGCAGTGAGCAAGCTTTCGAGATTATCATCAGAAAAATGTTAATTTATAGTAAGTGTGTCATGATCACATGGCTCATGGTGATGGATCTGATGTCCTTGGCAGAGATTTCAAGCATGGCTTAATTTTAAACATCTGAAAGAACCTGCATCAGTGCGATGGTACTTTAATAAGCACCACAAAGCCAGTCTCATTTTTAACTAGTCTATTGGTGTAAATATTTGAAAAACTGCTGGGAATAAGATTATAATAGATGTTTCAGTATTTATAATAATGTTACTCTCCTGCAGAAGGAATTTATTATGAGTCTCTGGTGGGCACCCAGGTGGCCCTAGGGACCCCATCCCCTGGGGTTGCTGCCACCAGTCGGCTCTGTGCAGAGGGCGAGTTGGATTTGGAGGCTTGTCTGATAGAAAGAAGGTGGCAGAGTGATAGCTGTCACTTAGGAGGTTAAGATGCGGAGCCAGAGCTTCTGACTGGGGAGTTGCTCTCCCTCTGTTGGGTGAAGCTGGCTGCTGTGTTGTGAGCCCTCCGTGGAGAGGCTCACGTGGGGAGGGACAGAGGGCAGTCCCCAGCCAGACCCAACAAGGGACGGTCATGATTCACTATCATTCCCATGCTGTGCATGCATTTCCAGAACCCATTCATCTGATAAATCAAAGTTTGGACACTTTAACCAGAATTTTTCCTACCAATTCCCACCTTTTAGTTTTCTTTTTTTAAAAAATTATTGTTTATTGCTAGATTTAGCAAAGCAAGCAAATGTTATATTTGAAGCATATCTGATTAAACCATAGATGATTTGACAGTTTTCTCACAATATACACATTTTTTTTTCTTTTTTTGAGACAGAGTCTCACTGTGTTGCCCAGGCTGGAGTGCAGTGGTGTGAACTTAGCTCACTGCAACCTCCACCTCCTGGGTTCAAGCAATTCTCCTGCCTCAGTTTCCCAAGTATCTGGGACTACAGGCACCTGCCACAATGCCCAGCTAATTTTTTATTTTTAGTAGACGCGGGGTTTCACCCTGTTGACCAGCAGGATGGCCTCGATCTCCTGATCTCGTGATCTGCCTGCCTTGGCCTCCCAAAGTGCTATGATTACAGGCGTGAGCCACCGCGCCTACCAAAAAATTTTTAACCTATGGCTCACACAATCAGCATTTGATAATTCGGGTGTTATTTTAAGCACAGCTATAGGAACTCAATATAGTGGCTTTTTAACTAGAATAATATACTTATGAATTATTATAATAAATACAATTTTCTATTAAATAAGGGTTTTTTTCTTAGTTATTAGAGATTTAAACTGGTAATCTGTTATGTATTAAGATTGTTACATGGAATTATAGTTAAATTGTGTTGAGCATGGAGCTGGGTTGAGTTGTAATTTGCACAAAGTTTTGAATTAGAAGGTAAAGTTTTCAACATAATTTCTAACTTTGCAAATTTTTATGTTAAACTGTTTAAAAATATTATTTCAACCAATTAGGGGTCAAATATAATTATGCATGCCATGAAATGCTTTTCAATCTTTACTCCCCGTGTGAATATCAAACTGAAAGTCATTTGAAAGGCGATGGGATCCTAAGGAATAACCCACAATTGAAGAGCGATTCACGATTGAGATTGTACTGAATGAATAAATGCCTAACCGGATGTCTTTTCTGGTTGCTCTGCCTCTGCCCTTCAGGGTTCAGCGGCTGCCCTCAGGTATGTGTTTGTTGGACAGAGCTTTTTCTCTTTTTTAATAATATTTTAAAACAACAGCCAACATTTTAAAATCAAGATACTCAGCAATGAAACCCAGATGTCTGGCCTCGTCTGACAGACTGGGAATCTGGTGACCCTAAGGAGTCCCGGCTTCCCGTGGAGCTGCGCCCTCCTCCACCGACCCAGCCCACCCAGCCGTGCACCCTCGCTGCAGCCCCTGCCGTGTCAGCATAGGACAGGGAGGGTGGAAAACACAAGAAAGCCCATCTTGCCCAGAACCAGCAACGCCAGAGCCAGGTCCCCCAGGTCGGGCACTGAGGACCCCCAGCCCCGAGCCTCCTCAGCCTCCTCCACCTCCCTGACCCCTGGTGCAGCCCCACCTTCCAGGGACCCCACGCCTCCCTGTAGCCGTGCTCCTGGCTGAGGTTCAGTATTAGCAGCCTCCCAGTGGAGCTGTGCGCTGACATGAGCGATCTGGAGGCATCAGTCCCTTTCTGTCCAGGCGAGGGATCTGTGGCCGTTTCAGATGCGTGAGGAGAGACGGGCCTGGTCTCTGTGCTTAGACGTGCCACACGGACTGACCTTCTGCCTTACAGAGCGCAGCGGCGTGGTGGTTCAGCTACCACCGTAGCTACTACAGAGATTCAGGGTCCTTACCTGAAGTTTGTGAAATAGGAGAAAAATCACATAAGGCTTTTTAAAATGTATGCTGAAGTTGAGGAGAGTTTATTTCTATGTGCCTCCCCAAAAGTCAAATTGCATGAGTGGGAGCAGGAAGGTGTCCTGGGCCAGGTGAGGGGGATGTCGGACGTTAGGGATGGTGCAGAAATGTGCCCTGGGGGGGAAGAGGATGGGCTGATCTCCCCCTACTCAAAGTGAGGGGCATGTCAGACATTAGGGATGGGGCAGAATGTGCCCTGGCGGGGAAGAGGACGGGCTGAGCTCCCCCCACTCTCCATGCAGAATGTGCCCTGTGGGGGAAGAGGATGGGCTGAGCTCCCTCCACTCTCCTTGTTCGGATTTCTGTGCTTGTTGCAGTCACTGATTTGTATCACTTTTTAAAAATACTTACACTGGGCATGGTGGCTCATGCCTGTGGTCTCAGCACTTTGGGAGGCTGAAGCAGGCAAATCACTTGAGGTCAGGATTTTGAGACCAGTCTGGTCAACATGGTGAAACGCCATATCTACTAAAAATACAAAAATTAATAAGGCGTGGTGGTGGGCGCCTGTAATCCCAGCTACTCGGGAGGCTGAGGCAGGTGAAATCGCTTGAACCCAGGAGGTGGAGGATGCAGTGAGCTGAGATCATGAGACTCTGTTTCTAAATTAATTAATTAATTAAATAAGCAAACTAACTAATTACAAGGTTTGTGGTTTATGGCTGTGTCTTACCTGGTTTGGTTTCCACAGGTGTTGGATTAAATGACGGGCAATGGCATTCTGTCTCAGTGACATCCACGTGGGGCCACCTGAGCGTGATGGTGGACGATGACGTGGCCTCCACCGTCCACACCACGGTACCTGTGGGGGTCCACCCGGGCGATGCCTACCACTTTGGAGGTGAGTGAAGGGGCTGAGAATGCACAGGCTCCTTGTGTTCCTCTTCCCCACCTTGCATGTGGTGGCTGGGATTATTTTTATTACTGTTGCTGTATCATGTGTGGCTAATTCTCCAGCAGTTCAGCAAATATAAAGAACTTCACTTTTTTCCCAAGCAGCTCTACTGAGTGTAATTTACATTTAACAGCTGAGAGCCCCTCACCACCAGGATCTCGTTTGCCAGGTCGTATTTTCAGGGCTTGCCGCCCGAGTCTTTTCATACTGCATACGCTACATTCTGAGACCCTCCTGGTGTCCTTCCCGTTGCCTCTCCTGCGGCACAGCCCTGACCGAGAGTTCCAGCACTGCCCTCGAGTCAGGACGGCGGTCAGTAACGCTGCCGCAGGAGGCATGTGTGGCCGGCCCTGAGTGTGACTGCCACACGTCGGTGGTCTGCGCTGGCCTCCAGCTACTCAGTCGGGCTCCTTAGGCCGCAGGTGGTCCAGGTAGGAACACAGCAGTGCCACCCTGTCACGTGCACATGGGGCCGTCACTGGCTTACTGGTCACCTCCCCTTCCTTTCCTCGTGAAGTGAGCTTCAGGCAGCTCCACTGCATTCTGGGGCAACTTTCCATGTTTATTCCATCAGACCCTGAGCAGAGGATGCAGATGGCAAATCCCCGTAAACCCTGGTGGGTGCCAGAGCCATCGGCTTCACGCTGTGCTGGCGTTGGGCAGGTGGCACCTGGTCTGTGGGCTGCCCTCTGAGCTCTCTGAGTGTCCCGGGTCAGAATTCCTGGTGCAGACACCAGGTCACAGCGCGGCTCACCCCCTCGGAGCTGCAGAACCTGCGGCCTCCAGGATTAGGCTTTCCCCAGGAATCGTCACATCTCGGCGCTTCCGCACGGGGCTCCAGGCCGGACGCCTCTGCCGCGCATCTCGGTGCTGGGGGCTCTCGTGTCTGCGGAGAGCGGGTGGAGCCGACCCCTTCTTGGCTCTCCTTGCTCCCTCTTGGTGGAGCCGTCAGCCAGCTGCACACGCGTTTCTCCGTGAAGCCACACGGCCATTCCCTGTGACCGCCATCGCCACTTTTGTTCAAAGTTTCAGAACTGAGTTTGTTCGGAAAGAGTGAGAGAATATGTTTTAAGGAAAAGGGAGATGCTCAGCGCCGTTACTGTTCTGGAATCTGAAGGTTACTCCAGGTTTGTACGGCGTGACTGTCCTTCCAGCCCCGGTCGGTAAAAGCAGATGGAGCACCCCACATCCAAAACCCCAAAATTCAAAATGCTGCAAAACTCAAAACGTTTTGAGTGCCAACATCATGCTCAAAAGAAATGCTCATGGGAGCATTTTTTTTTTAGATGGAGCCTCACTCTGTCGCCCAGGCTGGAGTGCAGTGGCACAATCTCGGCTCACTGCAACCTCCACCTTCCAGGTTCAAGTGATTCTCCTGCCTCAGTGTCTGAATAGCTGGGATTACAGGGACCCGCCACCATGCCTGGCTGATTTTTGTATTTTTAGAAGTGACAGGTTACGCCATGTTGGCCAGGCTGGTTTCGAACTCCTGGCCTCAAGCGATCCACCCACCTTGGCCTCCCAAAGTGCTGGGATTACAGGCGTGAGCCACCGCACCCGGCCAGCATGGGGGCAATTTGCATCTTGGATTTTCAGGTTTGAGGTGCTCATCTGGTAAGTGTAATGCAAATACTCCAAAATCTGAAAATATCCCAAATCTGAAGCATTTTGGGCCCCAGGCATTTTTGATAAGGGAAAAGGTAAAATAGACCCCGTCCGTAGAGAGAAGCCAAATGTATTATGCCCGAGCTTCGGTGGACGCCGAACCACTTGAACTTCGGGTTTCACCCCTAAAGTGAGAAAATGACCAAGGGAGGCTTCAGCGTCTGCCCAGGTTCCTGTGACCTCATTTTTAATTTCAAATCTCAAATTTCCATGAGGCTGATATAAAGCATAGTAATGTGCTTTACAATGACTGGAGAGAGGCGAGGCATGCATGAGCTCATCTGTCATACGAATGTAAATTATTGGGAGAGAAAGTGTTGAATAGTTATGACTGTTATTCAAACATAGAGGAAAACTTAGTATGTAATTTTTCATGGAAAACCAGTATGACTGGGGCAAGAATTAAGATGCAGCGTGATTCTTACTCCCTTATCCTCAGTTCTTAGACATTTACAACTGACAATTAACAGAGGGCCACAAGGGAGTTCTTAAAAAAAAACCCTTACATTTGGTGGGTGAACTCCATGCTTCCCAAAATGACTTATTTCAGTTAAGCAGAGAGCATCTAATGACCATAAACCTATGTTTTACATAGGAATATGGTATAGTACTTTCTCGTGTTTAAATAAGTGGAAGCTTTTCTAAATTTAAAACAATTATCAAGTACTTTTTATCTGTAATTAGGGGGAAAATCATGCTCTGGTGCTAGAGGTTAATGAGTCATTATTTTGTGAGGTAGAAGAGCTAAGGTCTGAAAACCAGATTCTCTCAAGAATGTTTGGCATTGGATTAGGGTTCTCTAGAGGAACGGAACAGAACTAGCGAAAGGGGGTTTATGAAGCATGAACTCACACGATCACAAGGTCCCACAATAGGCCATGTGCAGGCTGCGGAGCAAGGAGAGCCAGTCCTAGTGCCAAGGCTGAAGAACCTGGAGTCCGATGTTCAAGGGCAGGAAGAGTCCAGCACGGGAGAAAGATGTGGGCGGGAGGTTAGGCCGTATCTCTTTCATGTTTTCCTGCCTGCTTTATATTTGCTGGCAGCTGATTAGGTGGTGCCCACAAGCTTAAGGGTGGATCTGCCTTCCCCAGCCACTGACTCGAATGTGGGTCTCCTTCGGCAGCACCCTCACAGACGCACCCATCAGTACTTCACATCCTTCAGTCCAACCAAGGGGACACTCAGTAGTAACCGTCACAGGCATGAAACCACATGAATGCTGAAATGCATGGGACCGGGCCTCTCTGCATGTGGTGTTGATTAGGAAACCCCCTGACCGACTTGGGGTGTCGTGCTCCCCGCGCAGGGACCCCAGCGGCCGCCATGCTGAGCCACTCACCCTGGCCTGTGGCTGCAGGCTCCCCTCTGGCAGCGGCTCCTTCTCCTTGGCAGGGCTGGGGGCAGGGAGGGAGGGGGTAGGACAGACCTCAGGAAGCTGGACGCAGGGGTCCCAGGCGGCCGGGCAGAGGTGAGGCTCGGGAGCTGCTTCCTGGGGTCCAGGGCTGTGGTTGGGAAAACGATGCTGGCCTAACTCGGAGAATCAAATGCACGCTTCCTTCTTTCACCACACATTTGGATGAGGTATCTGCTATTGCATGACTGTTACTTTTTAATGGTATTAAGATGTCATGTTGAAATTTAATTTTTGATTATATGTTTGACCAACTCACCCAAAACAAAAATGGTTGTTATAAAAACACATGTAAGTTTTTCTTTTTCTGCTGAAGCAAGTCTTTGGGACACCTGAGCTGACGGGCGAGGCTGCCGTGGTGTGTGGTCGGCACACCAGCCTCAGTGGGGGTGCCCAGTCACCTTCTGGCCTGATATTCTCCAGACTCTAACATTTTAGTTGTTTGTATGTACAACAATAAGACCTGTTATTTCATTTCTAATTGTAAATCCATGTGCATTTAGGTTTTTCCCTTAAGATCTGTCATGGTAAAAAAGAGTTAAATTTCTAGTATACTTTAAGAAAGGGCATTGAGTTCAGGGTGAATTTTTAATTCTCAGGGTTTCTCATCTTCTTACATTCTTGCCTCCAGGGTTATTTTATGCTCTGCTGACCTTTCATCCTCCCTCTTCCCAATGAGCAGGCAGCCCCGCCCACAGATGGAAGGCAGCCTGGCGTCAGGGGGAGTGCAACCGGCCGCCCACACCCCAACACTGTGTCCACCCATTACCCTCTTCCTCTTGCCTCCTGTGCCTCTGAAACTCAGGGTGCCCCGCTCACGGCTCTGGCTCTGACTGCAGCCGATCGCTGGGACCACTGGGCGGATTCCAGGGGTGTCTGCGGCTCATCTCCATCGACGGCCAGGAGGTGGATCTGATCTCGGTGCAGCAGGGCGCCGTGGGGAACTTCAGCGACCTTCTGATTGACACCTGCGGCATCCTGGACAGGTGAGGGCAGCGAAGGGCTCAGAGTGTGAGGGCAGCCCACCTGGAAGGGCTCGGAGTGGACGTCCACAGGGGAAACGGTGTCTCCCCCACCTGGAAGGGCTCGGAGTGGACGTCCACAAAGGAAACGATTTTTCTTCCCAGCCCGCATCACAGGAAGTGAGAGGGCTGTTTCCCGTGAAAAGTCAGGAAGACAGTGTCGACAACTGCACACAGTAGCTTGTTTCAGGTGACGGTGCTGGGTGGAAGGCGCCGCAGGCATCCATGGGTCCTTGAAGAGGAGCCTCTGGAGGGAAAAACACGGGGAAGTGTTGGGAAAGCTGAAGTGTGGCAGAGACAATCAGGCTCTGAACCGGAATTACGTGGGCAGACAGAACAGCTGGGCCCATGCCCTTCCTGTTGTAAGTGGTAATATGTTTTTGAATAAACATTGCAGTTTGAAAACACTCCTTTTTCACCTGGGCAAGGAATTCGGTCAGAAAAAGCATTCAAATACTTTTAAATCTCTCTTCAGGTGTATCGAATCTCCTAGTCCTCGTTTAAAAAATCATTGGAACCTAGTGCTGTGTTTCACCAAACGTATTACCATTTACAAATCATCTTTGACAATAAAGAAAACACAATTCCCACCACTTAAATGGCTTCCCGCCACTTTTTAAACTCAGAGCCAGTTCCCCATATGTACACATTACACTGATTTTAAGTGGAAAATTCTCTGATAAAAATTTGTATAAGAAGACTTTAGCCAGTAAACCTGAACTTCGAGTTTTTGATTAAGTGGTGTTTGGGTGTAAAAACTGTGGCCTCACATGTCAGTCATGGCCCCGCAGTTCCGGGGCACAGACCTGCTGAGGACGAGGCTTCCCCATCTTGCTCCCTGGCGGTGGGAGAGCCTCGCAGTGAACAGGCCTGGCAGGGCTAGGGGACCTCCCTGTGTCTTGACCCGCAGGCAGTGCTGGGAGCCTGGGCTTTGCTGTGCCCACCGACATTCAGCTCACGGGAAGCTCTTTTAGTAACTTGGCAATTCACCCACCCACCTCTGTGTGAAAATATCCTAACACGATGACAGTTCTTCATACAGAATCTGTTTAATCCAGTTTGATGTGAGACTCATTTAAGTAAAGTAGATTTTAAACACCACATGGACAAATTTGTCATTATAGTACCACACATAAAATACTCGAATATTTGTGAACTTTAAACAAAGATCATGGATGTGAATTTAGTTTTTAAAATCCAACTTCAGGTTGAGATTTAAGGAAGTAATACAAAGCAGAACTAGCATTTTGCATGACAGATACAGTTATGTATAGTAGTAACCCTGGACCGGGTTGTGTCTCGATAGGTTTTGTCTTTAACATTTAAAAGCATGTCTTATCCTTGTGTGCTCTGGGAGATAATGAAGGAAGCCCACACATTAGCCACACAGCCCTGCAGTTGTGCGTGAGGACACCGTCTGTTTCTCCATTTCCACATTGATGAACATTTTGATTGTTTCCAATTTTTCTTTTCTTTTTTTTTTTTTTTTCCTTCTTCGAGATGGAGTTTTGCTCTTGTTGCCCAGGCTAGGGTGCAAGGGCATGATCTCAGCTCACCACAACCTCCGCCTCCCAGGTTCAAGCAATTTTCCTACCTCAGCCTCCCAAGTAGCTGGGATTATGGGCACACGCCACCACACCTGGATAATTTTGTATTTTTAGTAGAGTTGGGGTTTCTCCATGGTGGTCAGGCTGGTCTCGAACTCCCGACCTCAGGTGATCTGCCCGCTTCGGCCTTATTGCACACAAAGCAGCTGTGAGCATTCCAGGACAAGCGTCTCTGTAGAAATGGCTCCATTGACCTTGGGTAAACATTGGTAAGGAAATAGCTGAAAACTATGGAGAGGCTGCTGAATGTTTTTTGAGAAGCTGCTACACTTTTCTAAAGTGACTGCGACTCTCACGTTCCCACCAGCAGTGTGTGAGAATTCCAGTTTTCCTGCATGCTTGCCAGCATGTGGTCCGGTCCATCTTCAATTTCTGCCACTCAGCAGGTGTGCGGCGGTCTGTCGCCCTGGCTTCCACCTGTGTGTACCTGGTGACGAATGGCGCGAATGGCCTTCTCATGGGCTCACCTGCCATCTGAGCACCTGCTCTAGAGAAATGTCTACTCAAACCTTGCGCACATTTGTTTGAATTGGATCCCTTGTTTTCTTTTTTTTTTTTTTTTTGAGACGGAGTCTCGTTCTGTCGCCCGGGCTGGAGTGCAGTGGCCGGATCTCAGCTCACTGCAAGCTCCGCCTCCCGGGTTTACGCCATTCTCCTGCCTCAGCCTCCCGAATAGCTGGGACTACAGGCGCCCGCCACCTCGCCCGGCTAGTTTTTTGTATTTTTTTTAGTAGAGACGGGGTTTCACCGTGTTAGCCAGGATGGTCTCGATCTCCTGACCTCGTGATCCGCCCGCCTCGGCCTCCCAGAGTGCTGGGATTACAGGCTTGAGCCACCGCGCCCGGCCGGATCCCTTGTTTTCTTAGTGAGTTTTGAGAGTCCTTTGTGATATTCTGGATAGAAGTTCTTTACATGCTTTGCAAATGTTTTCTTCCAGTCTTCCTTTTGTTCTTTTATTCTCTTAACAAAGTATCTTTTGAAGAGCACAAGTTCTTAATTTTGATGAAGTCCAAGTTATTTTTTTCTTTTATGGATTATTCTTAAGACATCTTTGACTAACGTGAGATCACAAAGATTTTCTGCTATGTCTAATTCTAGAGATTTGTGGTTTAGATTTCATTTAGGTCTGTGATTAATTTTGGATTATTTTATAGATGGAGCAAGCTATGCAGAGTTTTGTTTGTTTCGTTTTGTTCTGCTTTGCACGCAAATATCCAGCGCCACTGGATGAAAAGCCTGTCCTCTCCCCATTTCACTGCCTGTGTACCTTCGTGAAATCCATTTGTCCATAAACACATCTGGGTCCATAGCTGGGCTCTGCATTTAGCTCCTTTATTTTTCCAACTTTATGCCAATACCACATTTTAGGAATTATGATTTCTGAACGATAATATTTAAAATCAGGTTGTTTTACTCTGTTTTTTCAAAATCACTTTGGTTACTTTAGGCCTTTCCACTTTTACATGAAGTTTAGAAGTAGCTTGTAAATTCCTTTAGATGATTCTTCTGAGAGTCTGCTTAGGATTTTGTTGAATCTGCAGATAATTTAAGGAGATTACGGCACTTCCAGCGCAGCTGAAGAACCACAGACCTGTCTTCTCACTCCTCCCTGGCCTGCGTGCATCATTGCTGTTTTATTTCGCTTACATTGTCAGTCCTCACACGTTTTTACTTTTGCTTAAACAGTCAAGTCTCTTATAAAACATTTTACATAACACACACTCGCACACACGTCAGTCCCCCCGCTGCCCCCGGGTGCTTTGTGTAGATGAGTATGACCGTCTGGTGTCCGTTTCCATCCATCTCCAGAACTTCTTCTAACATTCACTTTTCAGGGCTGTTGAGAATTAATTCATTCAGCATTTTTGTGCCTGGTGACATCTTTCCTACACCTTTGGTTTTGAAATATATTCTCACCGGGCATAAAGTCCTAAGAGGGTTTCCCTCCTCATTTTAATGGCAGCCGCCCACAGGTAATCTTCTGTTAGCCTTGCCTGAGTTCCACTGGACAAAATGTGCCATTTTCTATAGATGCATGTAAGATCTCTGTCTTTCTAACTGATTTTAAGCAATCTGATTATGAGGTACCTTAGGGTAGCTTTATTTATATATTGTGCTTGTGGGACATTAGGATTCTTGGATCTGTGTGTTTCTAATTTTTTCAAATTTGGGGCATTTTCTGTCATTATTTATTCTATTTTTTCTTCTCCCCTCTTCCCCATCTTTAGGAACTTAATGACATGTAGAACTGACCACCCGGACTTGTCCCACAGCCCACAAATGCTTTGGTTTTGCTTTTAAAGTTATCTTTCCTGTCTCCTTCAGATGATTTCTTTTTATTTTTCTGTGTTCACTCATCTTTATGGCAATATCTAATCTTAAAGCCACTCAGTGTTGTTTTCATGTTAGACTTGTAATATCATCTCTAGTTGGTGCTTTTTAATAACTTCCATGTCTCTACTTAATTTCCGAACATACGAGAACAAATTCCCTGTCTATGAGAGCAGCATCTACATTTGGGGTTGGTTTGGTTGATTGGTTTTCCTTTGCCCGCCTGCACACGCTCGATGCAGGGCCACACTCTGGGGTTCGCCTTACTTGGTGCCGTGTGACGTGCGTCCTGTGAGTGTTCAGGGACACGCTCTGGGGTTCGCCTTACTTGGTGCCGTGTGACGTGCGTCCTGTGAGTGTTCAGGGACACGCTCTGGGGTTCGCCTTACTTGGTGCCGTGTGACGTGCGTCCTGTGAGTGTTCAGGGCCACGCTCTGGGGTTCGCCTTACTTGGTGCCGTGTGACGTGCGTCCTGTGAGTGTTCAGGGACACGCTCTGGGGTTCGCCTTACTTGGTGCTGTGTGACATGACATGCATTTTGTCAGTGTTCTTAAGCTTTGTTACCAGACACAGCCATTCCTCTTCTGTTTCGATTGTGAGATCTGTGAGTCTGAGCAGCACTTGGTCTCAGGGTCGCTCTTCTCCAGGGCTGAGGCCAGATGCTCTGAGTCCATGCTCTGTGTGGCTGGGCTGCCCTCCTTCCTGTGAAAGCCGGTGCCCTGCCTGGTGCCAGCCAGGCTGCTGCTCCTGCTGATCCTGGCGGTCCTTTCCCTGGCCCCAGGCGGCTTCTCCTCTGCACTCGGTGACCAGCACTGAATATTCTCAGGGCCCCTCTGGATCTGTGGAGTTCTCCCTGGCTGTCAGAGCTGCCCTCCCTGCCTTCCTTAACTCGGGGTCTCCAGGCTCCCCGAGGACCCCACTGCCTTCCTTCCTCACAGTCTGAAGACTCCAGAGGGGCCTGGGATGAGCAGAGGGCACGCCTGCCAGGTGCCCATCTCGTAGGAATGACGGCCTCCCTGCCTGATGACCAGTGTCTGGAAAACAAGTGACCACCCCATGTGCATGGCCACTGTGTGTGCTTGTGTCGAGTGGGAGGTAAACCCTGTCCCTGTCACCTCGCCTTGCCCGTCACTGGTGGCTCCATTCCGTGTGTCTACCTGTTTACCTCTGTCTACGTCTGACTGAGCTGAGCACCATTTACCTCTGTCTACGTCTGGCTGAGCTGACGGCCTCTGCGCCCTCTGGCACACATTCGCAATTCAAGTATTTGAAAACCTTGATTTCTGAACACTTTCTTCTTCAGATTAAAGTCCCCGTAAGTATTCATTTCTCTGTGTTAGGAGAGTTGCAGGCCCCAGGTGCCTCTGCCCAGTGACGATGCATCGGTCCGGCCCCTCGTTGCCCCTCAGAACTGGGGAAAACCCCCACAACTGTTCCTGCCAGGACAGGACTTGATGGGAACACAACCTCCTGTGAAACGGCACCAGCACTTCACTAATTCAGAAAGGGAAGGCCCCGCTCTGTGTGTGCAGAATCCATGTTTTAAGTCATAACAAACTCATCAATCACTACAGTCCAGATCTTGCACACTGAGGGAGGAGTCTCCACACACACACACAAACACAGGCAGAACACGCAGTGTGACAGACGCTGACACATCACATACGCACACTCACGCCCACCAGCACTGGCTGCGCGTCCTTCCTTCCCGTTTCCAGAAACAATGGGTGCAGTCTGAAACCATCTTCCCAGCCGCGGGCCCAGGGGCTCAGGTGGGAGGAAAGAAAGTGCTGCCAGGCTGGGGGCTGGGAAGATGCTGCTGCCCCTTCCCCATCCCTGGACTCCGGAGGGGAGGCGTGAGCAGGCAGAGAAGGACACCCACTGGCTTCTGGGAATCCCTGCTCCGGTTCTTGTAATGGAAATGAAGACAGAGATGGGAGGGAATTGGTGCACGTCAGGCTCTTTCATACAACCTCACCTTTGGAGGGGTGGCTTGTTTATCTGGAGAAGTTCACACAAGATGAAAATCATGATGGGGACGTCTCAGGCAGCGCTTTAGGGGCTAGAAGGACTTGGGGTGGAGACATGGGGGGCGTTGGGTGAGGTGGAGGCCACAGGGCAGCGATTTATCCAGGTCCAGGCGCACCAGGGGGACCGTCTTGAGCTAACTCTTCCTCCTTTTATTTTACAACAGTGCAGTCTCATTCCAACCCTAAAATACAAACGAGGGATTGAGCCAGTGGATTGGGAAACGCAGATGAGTGAGGAAACAGCCCATTTGCTGGCAGACAGAGACTCAGGCTTCGGTTTCTACACAAGGAACTTAGCTCCTCACAGGCTCAAATCTCTTTTACATCTAGAAAAACACACAGTTCGTCATTTGTGTATCCGATCAATCAGTAGTGTTAGTGTTTTTGCTATCGATTTTAATTGTTCATCAATTCTCTTTATCACCCTTGGTTTCTATTAAATTCAAATATATAATATTTTAAGTCCATGATGATAACTATGTTAATAGATTTCTTTGAACTATCAAAATTGCTAATATAAATTTGTCAACACAGAAATACTCATGGCGTACTAATGAATCATTGATAGGTTGCAAAATTGCCATGTACATTTATATTGCATATATTTAAATATAAGCATCAACACATGTATAACTATAGTGGTTATTTTATATGCTAGGATTTCAAATGACTTTTACCTTCTTTTTTGTACTTTTCTGGGTTATTTGAATAATAACAATAAAACATTTACTTTTTTGTATTCAAGAAAATTAGTTTTACCATAATCTACTAAAATTACAAAAGTCCTGTAAGTGAAATTTCAAGTGTCCCAATCTTAACGTTAATGAGGCCTATGGCAAAATACCCATCCATGCTTAGATGGCCGTTGGGTTTTCCGTTTCCAGATTTATTCAATTTTCTTGGGAAAACAAAATGCACATAAAACTCTGGTGGTAGCTGGCTTTTATTCTAAATTCTAAATGGAAAAAGAATCATAACAATGGCATCCAGGCCTGCAATGAAGGATCCGTGGGTCCCGGGCCAGCGCCATGTGTAGACGGAAGTGTACCTGACTGTCCCTTCGGCCCCTGTCCTCCCTCCCTTCCCTCCTCTCCTCTCAGTCTCTCCCCTCCCCTTCCAGTCTTCCTTCTAGGAATTAATGTCACAGAACATTTCAATATGATAAAATACCACTGTTATTTTCTATAAGAAATTGTCATTCCTGGCCACATGTAAGGTCAATGTTGTGTTATTGTGACATAAAAAACAGAGAGTTGTCCAACACCAAGGGAAGAATTGCAAGTCCCGCTGCCTCAAAGCCAAACACAGGGCAGTCGGTTGAGCCTGACAGGTTTATTAGCTTGAGGTTTAGAGTTGGGAGCAAAGTTCTTAAGGACATCCCTCAACATCCCCGGCCATTTGAACTCTGTGCCCACACCTGGACTCGCCCTGCCACAAGACCCACGTTTCACAGTGACCAAGTGTGAACACAGACCATCTCTGTCCTTCTTTCAGGTGTTTACCCAACTACTGCGAGCACGAGGGCACCTGCTCCCAGACCTGGACGGCCTTCCACTGTGACTGCAGCAGCACTGGGTACACGGGCGCCACGTGCCATCGCTGTAAGCGGCTTCTCTCCCCGGGGTCCACACCTGTCACCTCCATAAGCAGCTTCCCTCCATGGGTCCACACAGCAGCTTCAGCGCAGGGGAGGGAGGGGAGGCGATGGTGGGGGCCCCGTTGCACCGTTGCACCTGCCCTCACCCTGCACACTTACCAGAGGGCCCTGCACGGGGAGCCCCTGGGACCAGCTCCCCTCACTTGATGCTGGAGGTCACACCTGGGAACCCAAGCCTCGCTGCCTGGCTGGGGCAGAGGTGCTGGCACAAGGACCATCCTCTCTTCACAGTCATCCTCTGTCATGCCCAGTAGCATCACCCACAGAGCAGGTGCCCCCATCAATATGCTTTGGGGCATCCATTTTTCTTAATGGTTATCAGCAACTGTGATTCCAAGCACTCTGAGAAAACCACCAGAAGATAAGAGAGTGGTTCTTAACTGTGACCCACAAGCGAACTCACACTGAGCCGACTTCACTGTGGCTCTTCCAAGGAGAGCAAAGAGAGGTGAAGGGGAAGCCAATCCCCAGTGGCTGGCGGGGAGGTAGCTCCGGGAGGTGAGGCGGGGAGGTGGGTCTCGGAGTTGAGGCAGGGCGGCGGCTCTAGGAAGCAAGGCGAGGAGGACGCTCGCAGAGGCGAGGCAGGGAGGCGGTGCTCGGAGGTGAGGCGGGGAGGACACTCCCGGAAGTGAGGCGGGGATGCGGCTCTCAGAGGCAAGGCGGGGAGGCAGCTCTGGGAAGTGAGGTGGGGAGGGTAGGTCTCGGAGTTGAGGCGGGGAGGCGGCTCTCGGAGGTGAGAGGTGGCTCTGGGAGGTGAGGCGGGCAGGCTGCTCTGGGAAGTGAGGCGGGGAGGGTAGGTCTCGGAGTTAAGGCGGGGAGGCCGTGCTCGGAAGTGAGGCGGGGAGGCTGCTCTGGGAGGTGAGGCAGGGAGGACGCTCCCGGAAGTGAGGCGGGGAGTTGGCTCTCAGAGGTGAGGCGGGGAGGCCGCTCTCGAAAAAGAGGCGGCAGGAGGGGGACCCAGCCAAACGGAATCCCGTCACCTGTGACAGTAAAGACGCCACTCCCACCTGTGAGTGCGCCTGAGCCCAGCTCTCGACCTGTTTCCTTGTCACATAAGGTAACAGTGAACAGAACTTTCCACCAGACTGGGTAATTTTATTTGACTTTAGGGATTTAAAAGTGCTATAAAAATAGTTGCAACACTCCTCTTCTTTACAGTTAAGTATATTAGCACACATATTATGTCAAAAATAGTTTTGTATTTTAATACATGTTCACATTTTCCCCTGGAGGGTGGATATTTACCATAAGGCAGGACTTGGAACCTCCCTCATCTCCTAATTTGAAACGTTGAGAGTTCTGTTACATTTTATTTTGTGTATGGCAAATGATTGGATGACCCCCAGCTCTCTACGAGCCCTCCTGTGAGGCCTACAAGCACCTCGGCCACGCCTCAGGATTCTACAACATCGACCCAGATGGCAGCGGACCCCTGAAGCCGTTCCAGGCATTTTGTAACATGACAGGTGAGTTACAATGTTTGATTTAAGCGTGACAGCTTGAACTCACAATTGCAGCTCACCTAGTAGAAATTTACCTTATTAGAAGGTATATTAGGTAAGTCATTATTCAATAAAAGTCATAGTTATAAAACTTGAACAGATAGTACAAAAGCAAAAATCCATAATTATATTATTTCTGTGCAAGTGCTCTTTTTTGTGAAATATTTAATAGTAAAACCTGGCCTGTCAAATTTCAAAACAAAACGTTTCCTGACTTACCTGATTGGATGAGTGGATGTGCAGTCGGAAGAGTATTTGCACTTTTCCTGAGCCTGAGCAGAGATGCCTTCACGTTTGAGCTCTTGTGAGCCTGAGTAGAGCCTGACCCTGGATCCCGAGCACTGTGGGGTCTGTTTCTATAACGATGGCCATGTCTGTGTATCCTGTCCCAGCCAGCGACTGTGCCTCCCCTCCCCTCAATGCCGATCTGTGTCCCTTGGTCCAGCTCAGACGCCTCCACCCTGAAGTATATTCCTCACTGCCCTGCGACAGAGCAGGCAACCCACCTGCTGCACCTGGCAGGGGAATGTTTACCTCTGCAAATTCTCCACTCTGCCAAGTTTTGGATCAATGTTCAGAACCATAGAAACAACAAAAAGTAAAGCAGGTGCAGGTGTCCACCCGGATCTCAGTGTCTCCCATGCACGAGGCTGAACAATGCCCCCCAGATTCATGCCGACCTGGAATCTGCATGGGACTTTATTTGGATAGAGGGTCTTTGCAGACTTAATCAGTGCAGATGAGGTTGTACGGAATTAGGGTGGGCCCCAGACACAGTGACCAGTGTCCTTAGGAGGAAAGAGAAGTTTGGAGACCCGGACCCGCCCACAGGGAACATGGTTGTGTGAAGACCAGCGGAAGCTGGAGTGATGTGGCTGCTAGTCAAACAAAGCCAAGGGTTTCTGGCACCCCCAGAAGCCGGAAGAGGCAAGGAAGGGGTGTCACCAGCATCTGCAGAGGGAGCGCGGCCCAGCTGGCACCCTGAGTTTGTACCCGTGGCCTGCAGAACTGGGGGAGATTTCTGTTGCAAGCCCCCTGGTCTGGTACTTTGCTCGGGCTGCCCAAGCAGACTAATATGGCCTGTAAGGAACTTAATTTCCCTTAAAATATTCATTTATGGGTATATTTCTTACGATGACTTGAATAGGTTAAAAAATCCTAAGGAAGTTTTTCATTTTCGTCCCCTCAGTACCCCCCATAAAGTCTGACAGCTTTTGCCTGTAGCCCAGCGTCTGCAGGAAGTCGGGCAGGTGCCCTGGAGAGACAGCGAGCCAGGCCAGGGTACGGAGCAGCCTGAGGATGGGGTGGCGGCAACAGGCAGGTGGCCCCTGGTCACGCTGGCACTGGGACAGGGAGACTTGGTGGGCGACGCCAGAGGCCCCTCCAGCTCCATTTTGTCCAACTCTAGAATGGCAGCCGGCTTGGGATCTGGAAGAAAGCAGCGGGACTGGTCAGCTGCAGAAACGGGAGCGCATTCTTGTGCAGTGTGGGGGCTGGACATCTAGGACCAAGGCGTCAGAGGGTCGGTGCGCAAGGCCCTGAGGGGGCCTCTGTTCAGGCCTCTCTCCGTTCACCGAGGCTCTGAGGGGTCTCTGTTCAGGTCTCTCCCTTGCTCCCAGGGTTTCTCCCAGTGTTTGGTGTTTCATGGTTGTTAGGGACCCCCAGACCCCCATCTCTGCCTGCATCCTTCCATGGTGTTGTTTCATGTGGTGGTGTTTCGTGTGTGTGCGTGTGTGTGTATGTGTTCAAATCTCCCCTTTCACAAGGACAGTGGGGTTGGATCAGGCTGGCCCTGCTCCACTATGGCCTTGCCTTGTCTAATTTCATCTGCAACCACCCTGCTCCTAATAAGGCCACATTCGAGGTCATGGGGTTAGAACCTCAGATTTCCACATGTTCACATGTCAGCACATGAATTTTGGGAGCCACACTTAGGCTGGCAATGCAAAGCACCCCTGGCTGTGCTGGAATTTGGCTTCTCCAGTGGCCATCCCCTAAAGGAGCAGTGTGTCCAGGGTCGTGCAGGCAGAGCCCCGCCTTGTTTGCAACTCATGCCTCTACTCGGCCAAGAACACTTTTACCTCCAAAGCGGGTGGGCGATTTTCTGCCTCGAGGGAACCCTATCACTGAAGACAGAGTGAGCCCCGTGACGACTCCTGCCATCGAGCCACAGGCGCGGAACCCATGATCAAAATGTCACCCGGCCCCTCTTGGGGTCACTGGGACCCCACCTTTCTGCCAGATGAAACACTGGGGCTTCATGTAGAGGAGAGGACGGGAAAGGAGGTGCGTCTGGGAGTCCCAGGCGGGGAAAACAGGCTAGCCACTTGCTGGCTGGGTGGTGTGGGCAGCGCCTCCTTCAGCCACAGCCTTCATGGCCCATGCGTGTTTCTCTGCAGACTCCAGGCCGTGGTTCTCCAGGGACCCTTCTGGCTGCCGGCCTCACCCTCGCTGCTCTCCTGGGCTCTGAGGCCTCACCTGTCAGTCACACTGGGACCAGTAGAGGGTCCAGGGCTAGGGGTCCAGCCTCAGGGTGGAGTGGTCTGGAATGCAGCTGGCAGCCGTCTGTGGCTGCGTCTCACTCCCCTGGTCCAGGTTGCACTCGCCAGGACACACAGGAGGGGCCTCTGCAAGGAGAGGGTAACAGAGGGGCAGGCACAAATCCAAGTCCAATGACGGTGTCACGGGCTCTAATTTGACAAGTCCCGATGAGAACATACTGCATAACCTCCAGTCTCGGGTGGTGCCAGGTGTCTGGACTGCACACGCAGGGTGGGGCTGGAGCGGCCACATGCCTCCTCCCGCACAGCGTTCGGCGTGCAGGGCAGGTTTCATTCTCAACACTAGGGAAGCTGGGCCAGGGCCAAGGCACAGGAGGGACCAGCCTCATCCTGCCCTTCCGGGCCTAAGCCATGGAGCCGACCCTTCTGGGCCAGTGGCCTCCTGAGTGGTGCCTAGTGAGGAAGGAAGGGAACACCCAGAGGATCAGGGCTGCAGAGGTACCAGGGGTGCCCACAGGGCTCTTGTGCAGCAGTGAGAAGCACATTTTAGGAGTAGAGAAGGTGTGGTTTGCATAATTTTAGATCATTACAAAATGTTAATGACCATTTCTTCTACTTTTTTGCCTATAACATTCCATCTGGCTAAATACCTAGAAACACGCATGTTCGTGGCTGGATCCCCTTGGATACTGAGTAACACAAATCGTAACAAGAGGCCACCCCTTCTCAGGACCTAATGTTCTAGAATCCTATTAATCTGATTCTTGGACTCCGACGTCTCAGGACCAGTGGGCACCCGGGGTCTGTGTGTGCTGCTAGTGACACTCCTTCTCCTCTCTCTCCTGCTCTCGCCCTGGAGATGTTCCGTGGACAGTGCTGCAGCACAACGGCTCAGCCTTAACCAGGGTCAAGGGCGCGAGCCTGGAGAACCCGCACCGGGCAGTGTTCCAGTACACGGCCAGTGCAGAGCAGCTGCTGGCCAGCATAGACCGCGCCAGGCACTGCCAACAGGAGCTGGAGCTCCACTGTCGGAGATCTCGGCTGCAGGACCCTCGAGGTAGGCAGCCCCTCCCAGCCCTTCCTGACCTGAGCCTGGGAGGTGTGGGTGTCACAGTCGAGGGTTTCAGGAAGAGCTTGATCCAGGGGCAGCTCGCAGAACACCATGGCGGGCAGAGACGTTCCTGATGGATGCTGTGTTTTCTCCCTTTAGAATATTTTACGGTGGTAGTGATTTTCCTTGGCCCCCATCCACTCCTCATGCCCCTGTTTTCTCCCTTTAGAATATTTTACTGAGGTGCCGACTTTCTTCAGCCCCCATCCGCTCCTCATGCCCCAGGTCTTCACCGTCCTGAGACCTTGCTGGTCCTCCCGGGTTTTCCAAACAATCCCATATTTCCTCTGTAAGGACAGACGTGTCTCTCTGTGGGCTCTGCTTTCGCAGGGCACTGCCCTATTTAGGAAGTTCTAGAGCCTTGCTGAGCAGACAGACCCCTCCACCTAGTGTCCAGGGACCCCGGGCTGACCCCACTGAGCCTTAGCTCCGCTGCATGTCATGCTTTTCCTCAGCCTGGAGTGTGGGGGTGTCAGGCTGTAATTGATCCATAACCATGATCACTCACCCTTGGATTTTGCAAATCAATCCTTTCATAAATTAGAGAAACTGGAGCAGAGTGAAGTTGGCCTCAAATAAAGCCACTGCCGCTCCATGTCATTTTCACTCAGCGCCTTTTCTGGCAAAAGATGGAGTTACAGGATTGAGGGCAGCACCCCACAGGGCGCCTGGCCCTTGGCAGAAGCATGGCCTGTGAACATCACACGCGTGTGTGTTGTGTCCAGTGAGACTGGAGGCGGCCACCCACTCAGCCCCGTCCTGTCGGGCCAGCTGCTGGCCTCATGCACACCAAGGGACCGGGTCTCCCAAGCCTGGGGCAGCTTGCTGTGGATGTGGCCCTTCTGCCACCCTCCCCAAATGCCAGCCCTCCTCCCGGACCCCCCTACACTCTGGGGCTCAGGCCACCCTGGGATTCATGTCCGGAATATCAGAGGCCAGGTCCCACGTCGGCCACAGTGAGCTGCGGGATTGAGGGCTGTGCTGGGTCCCTCTGAGCCGGGGAGGGGTGCAGGGAGGGGTGCTGGGAGGGGTGCGGGGACAGGTGCCGGGATGGGTGCAGGGAGGGGGCCCGGCCTTTCCCTCAGGGTTGGAACTTGGGGTGAGCACAGGAGAGGTCAGCATTCGGGTTTCAGTGTTCATGATTCCGCACAAACAGCCCTTGCACTGCACACACCGTGTGGGGCATCCACCCCGAAGCCTGTGCTGGGACCACAGGGGACTCTGGGGCAGGTCCTGTGTCCTGGGACAGCCTTGGCCTCCCTGGGTAGGATGTGCCATCGCGTCCTCGGGGGCTGCCTGGTACACTTAAGGATCCTCTGGGCTGAATATGTGGCCTGAGGCTGGACCCCCAACCGTGCAGGTGTGGATTCTGGAGACAGAGTGATCCCACGGTCCCACAGGCTCCTCCATGGTGTCCCCACACAGATGGCTCAGCTCCCAGCTCCCAGCTCCCTGGTGTGGCTTAGCTCAATGCAAATCGCACAGGTGACCATGGAGGCAGGTGAGCCCCATTGCCACAGTGCCCCCGGCCGAGTGCAGGAGGACAGGCAGGTGTTTGGGAAGCCAGAGTGGGGAGTGTTCCTGCCAGAGGAAGATCTGGAGGTCTAGGGGCGCTCTTTTTTTTTCTTTTTTTTCTTTTTTTTTTTGAGACGGAGTCTCGCTCTGTCGCCCAGGCTGGAATGCAGTGGCACCATCTCAGCTCACTGCAAGCTCCACCTCCCGGGTTCCCGCCATTCTCCTGCCTCAGCCTCCCGAGTAGCTGGGACTACAGTCGCCCGCCACCACGCCCGGCTACTTTTTTGTATTTTTCGTAGAGATGGGGTTTCGCCGTGTTAGCCAGGATGGTCTCAATCTCCTGACCTCATGATCTACCCGCCTCGGCCTCCCAAAGTGCTGGGATTACAGGCGTGAGCCACCGCGCCCGGCCTCTGGGAGTGTTCTTAAGGACAATGGCACAGAAGCAGGTTCTGGATGGTGATGGGGAGGCCCCAGGGGAGCCCCAGAAGAGGAGGAGCTGGGGGGATCTGGGATGCGGAGTCCGGCAAAGCCACCGGAGGAGAGAGCAGAGATGAGGAGGGAGAGCAGGGCCTGGACATGGTCTGGGCGGGGGTCCTTGAATAGGCAGATAAGAACCTGGGGCTTTATGTGATGGCGGCCAGTGCCTGATGCCCCTGGGTTCGGATGGATACGGCCCAGGCCCCGGCCTCGCGTGGTTGAGGGAATTGTCACTGGGTTCGGATAGATACGGCCCAGGCCCCGGCCTCGCGTGTTGAGGGAATTGTCACTGGGTTCGGATAGATACGGCCCAGGCCCAGGCCCCGGCCTCGCGTGTTGAGGGAATTGTCACTGGGTTCGGATGGATACAGCCCAGGCCCCGGCCTTGCGTGGTTGAGGGAATTGTCACTGGGTTCGGATAGATAACGGCCCAGGCCCCGGCCTCGCGTGTTGAGGGAATTGTCACTGGGTTCGGATAGATACGGCCCAGGCCCCGGCCTCGTGTGGTTGAGGGAATTGTCACCAAGGCTGCCCTGGGGGGGCTCAGTGCAGTCAGAGGACCAGAAAAGCATCCAAGGGAAGTCCCTGGGGTCCAGCATCCAGGGTGCCCACAGGCTGGTCCCCGTGGAGACAGGGTGGGAAGAAAGGGGACTTGGGAAGTGAGGTCCAGGTGGGGCTGCAGGTCGGGGTGTGCAGGTCACGAGGCGAAGGAGGCAGTGGGGGCTCCGGCAGGTCCCAGTGATGGGTCTGGGAGGAGTGCAAAGAATATAGAAATGCACATTCACAGGCCGGGGCCAGCCCTGCAGGGAGGGCCTTGGGTGTGAGGCTGAGGCCCTGAGGTTGGGCGGGAGATCCCGGCCGGGACTGGGTTGGGAGCCTGTGGGGTGCGTTCCCTGGTTCAGTAGACTGGTTCCTATTTCTCTTCTTATTTTCTTTTCTGCTGTCTTGTTTTGTTATTTCTTCAACCTTCCCCAAATCTCTGGAATGCTTAAAAACTCACAAATGCAACTGAAGACCCTTGATATCACTATGGCCATTTGATAATTCCAGTGTTATTAGATGAGTAATTTAGATGGTAAAAATACAGTTATAAGTTGGAATACAATAATGTCCTCCCTCTGATTTTTGAAAGCATAATGGTGAAGTAATTAAAGTTTTAAAGGGTTATTATCAAAAATATCTATTAAACATTTTAAACACCTCCTGCCTCCCAGCGGTGAGCTTTCGTCTTCATGGGTGATGCTCACAGCACTCATCCCAGCACCTCTGGGAGCTGCTGGCCAGGGAGGCGACTGCGTGTGAGCCAAGGCTGCTTCGCTGGGTGGAGTCAGAAGGCACCAGGGGATTGGCACGTGCTCCAGGTCCTCATGGGACCCTTGGTTTCACTCGCAGGAAATGGCCAGCGCCTCGGAAGCAGCTGCCTCCTGCCTGGCTCTCTGAGGTGGGGGCCCTCTTCCTGGGTCAGCATATGCTGGACTCCACCTCTCCCTTCTCGGCCGTCTTCTTCTAAGTGCTGCGGGCGTTGCTTGCCCAGGTCCCTCTCATTCTGCAGCATTCCGGAGAGGTCCAGCTCCGACGTGGGATCCCAGGCAGGATGCAGAGGCTCCTGTTTATCCCTGAGAGGGCACTAGGGTTGCTGGTTTCCCAACACGGTGTTTGTGTCAGGCAGGTGGAGGGTTTGCCCCTCCCTTCTGCGGCTCTGCAGGTGAACAGGCGCCTTCTCAGAACAGCAAGCGCAACTCAGCCCCAAACAACCCCCCGGCCACAGCAGGGTGTACCCCACCTGGGAGTCACCGGATGCTGGGGTCAGACCTGCAGCCAGGGCCGCTAGGTAATAACCCATGGGGCCGACTGAGGGCTCAGAGGAACGTGCTGCCTTCGTTCTGTTTCTATTGCAGCAGGCCTTTCGGGATCTCACACAGAGGTTAACTTTAGCTTCCAAATCACTTTTCGATTGTTTGTTCATTTTTTTATTTTGATGGCAACTCACTTCTTAATGCAGTTCCTGATGAAGTTTCACAACTTTGCTGTTCCAAATTATGTACTACCGTGACGAAAGGAGTTAGGTATTACTTCCTAATAAAATACATGGTCCAGTGATGGGCTAAGAAATACAGTGTAACAAAACAGATCAGTTATAATTCTTAAAGAAGCAATATTCTGTTACGGTGTTAAGAATAAAACCATTTTAAAGCAGAGTTTCTCTTTGCTCTGTGGGTTTCTTAACGAGCTGGGAGACGAGGGGTCCCTGGGGGTGGTGGACAGTGGGCCAGGCAGCTGTCACCTTTCTCCAATTTGTGTTTTAGATGGAACGGCGCTGAGCTGGTGGGCTGGAAGAGCCAACGAGACCCACACTTACTGGGGAGGATCTTTTCCCGGCGCCCACCAGTGTGCCTGTGGGTTAGAGAGGGACTGCCTGGATCCTCAGTACGGCTGTAACTGTGATGCCGACCGGGACGAATGGTGAATTGCATGTGATTTCCTCCGTAAGACGTGCTCTTGTTATTGCTTGAAGCGTAGGACAGATGTAGGTTCCATTGCGTCCTCACAAGTTAGAGACATGTACGCTGATGAACTATGATACAAGTGACCAGAAGCCTAAAAATTACGGTCAATGAATTACTGGTTTCCTTTCTTTCTTATCTTGGTTTGTTGTTTCTCATTTTTAACCTTTTCATTATGAACAAGGTCAAATCTATGCAAAAGTAGAGACGATAGTACTAATGAACCCCCACGTGCCCATTGCCCAACCTCAACAGCCATTGCCCACGGCCAGCTTTTGGCCGTAGATATGCCCACCTCGTCACCCCATCCCAGTGATTGTGGAGAAAACCCACATATCACGTCATTTCATCTGTCAACACTTCATTGGTTCGTTGTGAAAAATTTATCACAAATCATGCACATTTTATTTCTTCAATAAGATAACCTCATTAAAGGATTAAAAGGTTTAAATTCAACCTAATTTAGTCCATTTAAGTAATCTCATGTGGACAGGACATATTTTCTAAACCAATTTCCAAAGTGTGGCCTCCAACACTCTCAACTACCAACGGGTCCACAATCACCCAGGTGTCGGGGGTGACATGTCCTCAGGTCCACGATCACCTGGGTGTTGGGGGTGACATGTCCTCAGATCCATGATCACCTGGGTGTTGGGGATGACACGTCCTCAGATCCACAATCACCTGGGTGTTGGGGGTGACACATCCTTGGTGTCACCTCTGAAAGGCGTAGTGCGTGCTTTCACAGCAAAGGCTCTGAGAAGTCCCGCATAAATACTGCTGGACCCATGGGCGTTGTCCCACGTGATCTGATGAAGCTGCTGGTCTGACTTATGGATGTTTACATGAAAAGTATCTCTCAGTGTGGCCCACACTCTGGAAATACAGAGCATCAAGGGCTTAAAAATGATCTTCAAAATGGCTAAACAAGGGAATTGCCTCACATATGTAGACAATATGTGAAATCAGAAAGCTTATTATATTTGAGGATAATACTGGAATCCCCGTTGATTTTATGTTTTTATTTACAAGACAATATTTATAAAGTGAGAATTTTCAAATCTCTAGATTCATATTTTAATGTTTATCACTAATAAAAAATATTTCATATAGCTCAAATGCTTCAGATACCATATTTTTATTAGACTTTTAATATGGGCCATGAACACCAAAATCACTTAAAAAAACACACAATTTGGTCAATATGATTTATTTGGCTACAGAATGTCTACAAGCTTAGGAATCAGTTCACTCAGAAATGATCTCACAGTTGTAACTGCAAGGTTTTCATTTGCTCACCTGGCATGAACAAAAGCTGGAACACATCAGTTTAAGAATATTCTGAAAGAATTTGAAAGATCTGCGGAAATGCACGTGTCAGAGACGGCGGCAGTGAAGGCCCCGGGCAGAGGTTAGCAAACTCTGGCCTGTGAACCAAGTCCTGTCCGCAACCTGATCTTCCAAAGTTCTGCTGGCACTCAGCCGCATTCTTCCTTCACGTTTTACTACGGCTGCTCTCAGTCCCACGGCTGGGTTGAGTCAAAACAGGGACCCTGTGGTCTGAAAGCCTGAAATTCTTACCATCCGGCCCTTTACAGAAAACCGTGCTGATCTACCGTGGGGAATGCCGTGCTGGAGCCAAGTCCCTGAGACTGGGAAGGGACGGGAGACCCAGACCAGAACACACGCTGGAATCGGGCGACTTCCCAAGGACCCACCTCCTGACCGTGGTCTCCAGGACGGGCAGAGGGCACCAGTCAGGGCGGCCCTGGCCTGCTGGGAAGGCCAGGCTGGTGGGCAGGGATGCAGCTGCAGGGCTAAATGCCACAGGAGCAATTTAGATTATGGAATCCTGTAGCCTAGGAGCCATGTGGACGCACCCTCTCCCAGGGGGCCCGGCCAGGGTGGTGGCCAGGCCAGGGTCAGAGGGGCCGCAGGACGGTTGGTGGACCCAGAAGAGGTAAGGAAAAAGGGCGGCCCATGACCGTCCTGCTGGACTTGCAGGCAGAAAGGGTCAGCCTGGGGACCTGGAGGCTGCAGTGGAGGATCCTGAGCCCTCGTCCAGTCTTGGACGCAGGATCCAGTGACACAGGAAGGCCCTTGTGATGCCCAGTAAGCGTGAGCCACCCCCACCCCAACCAGGGAAGCCGAGAGCCCCAGCCAGTGCCCTACAGTTGCTGGGTCTTACAGGGTCCGTGTGATGCCGACTGGGATTGGAAACGCCACCTGGGCCTGCTGAGGGTGGGCGTCTGCAGCCAGGCAGTGAGTGGAGCTTGGTCCCCTCTCCGTTCCTTTCAGTATTTTCTTTTGTCCCTGAGAATCGCTGGAATGAGCGTGCACCTGCCACAAGAGCCCACCAAGGCCCCTTGACCTGCGCAGTAGAAACCTCACGGTGAGAAGACCCACATGGAAGCTCCTGAAACAGCCCCTCCCCTCCCCAGAAACTAAACGCAGAGCAGCATCTCCCAGGAGCAGTGAGGAGACCCCCGCCACCCTTGCAGACCTGAAGAATGGCAGGCGGTGGTCTCAATCATTTCCCCCTGAAATCACTGATAGGGCGCCTGAAAAATCAAAACCGACGATGCTGGAAGATGGGGGATCCTGAAGATTAAATTAAGGGGCCTCATCAGAGCGGTGTGATAGGTGCGGTGCCTTTACTAAAACAGTGGCTCTTGATTCAGCAAAACGTTATTCTCAACATCAGTAGGGAAGGGCCCTTGAAATCCCTCTGCATCTCGCCCCGGCCGTGCTGACCCACTCCGTCTGTGAGGCCACCTCAGAGCACTGTCCTGGCAGCTCAGGGAAGAGGCCACGCTAGCCCGATGAGAAAACCAGTGGGAAGGACTCTGGAGGCAGCCACAGGGCGTCAATTACCTGGGCATCTGCCCCTGCCCATTGCGGGCCGGGCTTTTGTGGGCCCATCAACTCGTGGATTTGGGTGAGCACAGCAGCGACCCATTGCTGAAGGAGCTGGGGACTCAGGATGGATGCAAAGGTGGCCCAAGGGCTTGGACAAGTCCTGGTGCAGGAGAGGCAGAGCCCTGTCGGCCACAGCCATGTCCACCCCAGAGATGCTCCTGAGTGGGGCAAAGGAACGTGCCCCCCACCCCGCCCCCCAAGGGCAGAGCAGTGCACACAGCCGGACCCCGGTCCTGAAGCAGGTGTGGAAGGACACGTTTCCCTAGACACCACACGTGTCCCTTCGGCGAGGATGAGCAGGAACCGCCGGCAGGTGGGCAGCTGCTGGTCAGTGCCCAGGAAGGTGCGAGTCTGGAAGTAACCTGTAGGGGAGGCCTTCGGGGCCTGCAGAGTGTGTGGGGCCTGTGGGGCCTGCAGGGGCTGCGGTCTCCTCATGGAGCCGAGGCTGAGGCTGCGAGACCAGGAGCCCTATCTGCAGAGCAGGCCAGCCTCAGTCCTCGGACACCCGGGGCTGCACCGCCCATGTTCCCTGGACATAGAGGTCAGGGCGAAGTGAACGATTTGGCAGCGTGGACCCCACCCACCCGGAGAGGCGGGATTTGGCCTTTGGGGCCCTGATCTGTGTCCGGTTATGACTGACCTCAGGAGCTCTGCCTGCAGGTGGCTTCTGGCCGTGGAGGCTGCGGCCTGCGTGGGATGGCAGGGGCCGCTCGTCAGCCCACAGTACTCAGTGCACGGGAGCTGCTGCCCACGCGGCCTTGGGACCGACGGTCACTGGGAAGCTGCCCTCATGCAGTGTCCCACGGTGCATGCTCCCTGGGACCCTGCTGGGTGTCGGGATTGGTAGCAAAGGAGGGAGCTGGTGAATCTGCTGAAGACCCCAGGGCTGACACGGGAGCCATGGGTTAGCTCAGTAAGGATCGCTCGGCTGTGACGCTGAAGTCAGCCGCAGGGCAGAGGAGATGCAACCTAGACACAAGTGCGCCCGGGCAGTGTGAAGGACGGACTGTGGCAGACACGGCCAGGGATGCCCAGAGGGCCCGTGCACATCAGGGACAGCCTCAACCCAGCAACCCACAGCGTGCGAGGGAAGGACTGGAGTGCACGGGGATTCTCCACTGTCGCGCAGTGTGTCTACTAGTCTGACATTGGTCAAAATAAAAGATCAAAAACTTGTAAAATGACTCAGAGGTGTGTGGTGTGTGTGGAGGCGTCGGTGCAGAGAAACAATCAAATGACCAAGGAGCGTCCAGAGACAGGTGCACAGTCCTGTGGGCAGCACCAGGGAGTGTGGAAAGTTTGGTCTTTTTAATAAATGGAGCCGGGTCCACTAGATATCCACGTGCAAGGAGGATATCTTTATATTTACTTCACAGCACATAAAGATCAATTCCTGTTGGATTTCAGATCAAATATGAAAGGCAAAAGAATAACAATTCTAGAAGAAAGCACCGGAGAGCATCCCCGATCCAGATCTCCAAGGGTTCTAATTCCATCTTGTAATTCCAAGCGAGTTCGGTCTCCTCTGCCTCCCACCTGCCTCTCAACCTCTGTCGCTCTCTCACTCTATTTCAATATAGACACACATAAGTATACGGGTCCTGAATCATTGCAGAGTCCATTGCAGACATGATGCTCCTTTAACCTCAGATATTTCGTCCTGTATTTCTCAAAAGCAAAGCTGTTTTCTTACATAACCAGAGTCCAAAAATCAAAATCAGGAAATTCATATTGATCCAGTGCTATTTTGTAACCCATAATTTGTATTTACATTTCTCTAATTATTCCCATAATGCCCCATTACTGTTGATGTTAATTTGACAGTTTGGTTCGGGTGACGTCTGCCGGATTCCCCACTATGAATGATCATTTTTGCATTTGTGATCAATAGTGTTTTGTGCAGGGATGTAGGAAACCATGTTCTTACTCTCTTATGCCTCAGATTCAGCCCATCTATTTTAGCATCCATTAATTAATCCTGCCTGAATCAATTATTATTGATTGTTGTTCAGATGGTGGTGTTTTTGTTGTTGTTGTTGT